CTTTGCCTTTATCTTTAAAACATAATAAAATGCAAAAATTCATTTATGGCGTAATCCACACATGCGTGCCAAACTGACCTCATTAGTGTGGTGAAGTTTTAGTTTTGTGAATTAAATGTGTATTTAAATGTGCTTTTGTAATAATTTTTTTAATTGTTAATGTGACTCTGTTTCGGAAATATACATGGTCTGATCAGTTACCTCACATGGGTGGCATTTGTAATGCTATAAAATTCCTGTTCATGATTTTAGAAAGAATCCAATGATGAAAACATTATTATTGGATTCTACGTCTGTAATGTATTGTTTAATGCATTTTATGATATAGAAAACAGAGATTGGAATATATTTTCTTTCTCTTTTTTTTCCTCCAGTATGGTACACCATAATCATTCAAGTCTGTGATAAACGCAAGTAATCTAAGAGTAATCAGACTACATTACCTAATATGTGTAATTCAGATTGTTTCTTAACTACAATTTTTGTCATGTAATTTGTAATCAGTAACAGACTACAATCTACCCAGCACTGCTGACAGGTGACTGCTTTTAAATAGGGATGCACCGATACCATTGCACCGATGCACGAAAACTTTATGGTGCTTTATATTGTTTTTGTGCCTTTTGTGGGGCTTAACAATAACACAGAATACTATACGCACAATATCGGATTTGGATCAGTCTCGTCCAACCGATAACCGATGCGGCAGAAAATGACCGTATCGGAGCCGATACCGATACTGAATATCGGATTGGTGCATCCCTACTTATAAATGCTCACTTGCATTTGTGCGTCTGTTTTCTGATGAACACCCACAGTATTTGACTTTATGCAACTGCATGTTACCGGGAAAAATGCATTTGCATTTCACAGTGTTTAGGCCTAGTGCAAAATGCATGTAAACAGTCAGTTATGTCTTAAGGGATTGTAAACAGATGGGGCAAAATTACTGATGTGTCAAAATAGATCATTAGTGCATTAGTGTAGTAAATGGAACCTATTAGACTTGCTGCTGTCTATAATGTCATCAATAATAATCATACGGAAATAAAACTGAGAAAAGAAAATTACTCACTGCTCTTGTCTGGCAAACTTTAGCAGCTTTATTACTAACTGTAGTCCTCTACAGTTAGGTTCTCGAAGCACTCTTGCATGTGTTTCTTTGTTCTCCTTTATTACGGACTATTGACTTGTATGTTTTGAAGCTAAATTTAGTTAGGTGAAAATTACTTGACTACATAAAATTGTCTTTATTTATTATTAGTTTTTAGCTGGTTATTCATTTAGCTCAAACAGTAAAGCAGATCATGGGTTTGATTCCCAGTGAAAGCCAGAACTAAGTAAATGTGTGCCTTAGATTTAATTTGCTTTTGATAAATGTAAAAGCATTGATCAATAGCATAGTTTTTAATCAAGGTATTTTTCTTTATAAAGAACAGAATAGTTTTAACTGAATTTGTCTGTCTTTTACTGATTTTTAAGAGTACATTAGATTAAAAATAAAGTACGTTGTATATTGCTAACTCCAACAAAAACAACAGCAAAAACTTTTTAAAACAAGCGTTACAATATCATTTTTATTTTGGAGCATGACAGTCTGTCAAAGTGGCAAATAATGGTTATATTTTGTCAGGTTTTTAATCATTTTGTTACTTTGTTACTTTGCATGGAAGGTGGGCACAGAGAGTAGTTTGTGCAACAAATATTCATTATCAAGCACTTTGATGTGAAGGGTTGTACATTTTCCATCTTGTTCGATTTTAATCTGTCAGTAAATATTGTAACTTTTGCTCTTTGCGTGTGGCATGCACATCATTCCAGAGCTTTGGTGGCAAGAGCTCTTTTAGTTTGATCAAGCGTTGTTTCAGGTTGTTGGTTTTGTGTTTTGGCATCCCTTTTTTCAGTTTTTTTTTTTTTTTTTTACACTGTGGGAGTGTTGCTAAAGTTTAAAAGCACAATAGACCAGATCCGACCTTATTTCGTTTATCTGTCAAAATGATGGAAAGTGCTTTGAGTCATCTATTAATGTTCTTAAAATTAGTACAAAACACACTTTAGCCTCTGTCCTCAGCTTTATAAAATCTATTCACAATGAAGTGTTAAAGCTTTTGGATGTTTGATATGACACACACACACACACACACTCACACTCACACTCACACTCTCTCA